AATGGCAAAGAAAAGAAAGTGGGGGTAACAATACTTATATCACACAAAATAGATTTTAAAACAAAAACTGTACAAGAGACAAAGAAGGACACTACATAATGATAAAGGGAACAAGTCAACAAGAGCATGTAACACTTGTAAATATCTATGCACTCACCAAAGGAGCACCTAAATATACATAGCAATTATTAACAGACATAAAAGGAGAAATAGACAGTAACACAATAATAGTAGGGGACTTTAATGCTCTGCTTACACCAATGGAGAGACCATCCAAACAGAAGATCAATAAGGAAACACTGGCCTTAAACGACACATTACATCAGATGGACTTAGTAGATATATATAAAACATTCCATCCAAAAACCAAAGAATATACATTCTTTTCAAACACACATGGAACATTCTCCAGGATTGATCATATATTAGGCCACAAAACAAGTCTCAATAAACTTAAGAAGATCGAAATAATACCAAGCATCTTTTCTGACCACATAGGTATGAAACTAGAAGTCAACTACAGGAAGAAGATCAGAAAACGCACAAAAATGTGGAGATTAAACAAAATGCTACTGCATAACGATTGGGTCAATGAAGAAATCAAAGGAGAAATCAAAAAATTCCTGGAGACAAATGAAAATGAAAATACAACATGCCAAAATCTGTGGGGTACAGCGAAAGCAGTGCTAAGAGGGAAGTTTATAGCAATTCAGGCCTACCTCAACAAACAAGAAAAATCTCAAATAAACAACCTGACAGTGCACCTAAAGGAACTGGAAAAAGAAGAAAAAAACAAACCCAAAAGCAGCAGAAGGAAGGAAATAATAAAAATCAGAGCAGAAATAAATGAAATAGAGACTAAAAAACAATAGAAAAAAATCAATGAAACCAAAAGCTGTTTCTTTGAAAAGATAAACAAAATTGACAAACCTTTAACTAGACTAACCAGGAAAAAAAGAGAGAAGGCTCAAATAAATAAAATCAGAAGTGAAAGAGGAGAAATTACAATGGACTCCTCAGAAATACAGAAGATAATAAGAGAATACTATGAAAAACTGTACGCCAACAAATTGGACAATCTAGAAGAAATGGATACTTTTTAGAATCATACAATCTTCCAAAACCAGATTAAGAAGAAATAGAGAATTTGAATAGACCATTCACCAGTAAGTTGATCGAAATAGTAATCAAAAACACCCCAAAAAATAAAAGTCCAGGACCAGATGGCTTCCCTGGTGAATTCTAACAAACATTCAATGAAGACTTAATACCTATCCTTCTCAAAATGTTCCAAAAAACTGAAGAGGAGGGGAGCCATCTTAACGCATTCTATGAAGCCAACATTATTCTGATACCAAAACCAGACAAGGACAACATAAAAAAAAGAAAATTACAGGCCACTATTACTGACGAACATCGATGCAAAAATCCTCAACAAAATACTAGCAATCGAATACAACAATACATTAAAAAGATCATACATCATGATCAAGTGGGTTTTATTCTAGGGATGCAGAGAGGGTTCAACATCTGCAAATCAATCAACGTGATACACCACATTTAACAAAATGAAGAATAAAAATCACATGATCATCTCGATAGAAGCAGAGAAAGCATTTGACAAGATACAGCATCCATTTATGATAAAAATTCTAAATAAAATGGGTATAGAAGGAAAACACCCAATGTAATAAAGGCCATATATGACAAACCCACAGCAAATATTATTCTCAATGGAGAAAAACGGAAAGCTATCCCTCTTACAACAGGAACCAGACAAGGATGCCACTGTCACCACTCCTATTTAACATAGTATTGGAAGTCCTAGCCAGAGCAATCAGGCAAGAAAAAGAAATAAAAGGGATCCAAATTGGAAAAAAAGAAGTGAAACTGTCACTATTTGCAGACGACTTGATTTTATACACAGAAAACCCTAAAGAATCCACTAAAAAACTTTTAGAAATAATAAATAAATACAGTCATGTTGCAGGATACAAAATTAACATACAAAAATCAGTTGTGTTTCTATAAACTAACAATGAAATAGAGGAGAGAAAAATTAAGAAAACAATCTCATTTACAACTGCAACCAAAAGAATAAAATACCTAGGAATAAACTTAACCAAAGAGGTGAAAGATCTGTACACCAAAAACTATAAAACACTGTTGAAAGAAATTGAAGAAGACACAAAGAAATGGAAAGATATTCAATGTTCTTGGATTGGAAGAATTAACATAGTTAAAATGCCCATACTTCCTAAAGCAATCTATAGATTCAATGCAATCCCAATCAAATCTTCAACAACATTTTTCACAGAAATAGAACAAAGAATCCTAAAATTCACGTGGAACAACAAAAACCCCAAATAGCCAAAGGAATCCTGGGGGAAAAAACAAAGCTGGAGGTATCACACTCCCTAATTTCAAAATATACTACAAAACTATAGTAACCAAGACAGCATGGTACTGGATCAAAAACAGACACACAGATCAATGCAACAGAATTGAGAGCCCAGAAATAAACCCATACGTATATGGACAGTTAATTTTTGACAAGAGAATCAAGAGCTTACAATGGAGAAGGGAGAGTCTCTTCAATAAATGGTATTGCGAAACCAGGACAGCCACATGTAAAAGAATGAAACTAGACCATTATCTTACACCATGCACAAAAATCAACTCAAAATGGATTAAAGACTTGAATGTAAGACCCAAAACCATGAAACTTCTAGAAGAAAACATAGGCAGCACACTCTTTGACATCAGTCTTAGCAGTATATCTTCAAGTACCATATCAGACCAGGCAAGGGAAACAAAAGAAAAAATAAACAAATGGGACTATATCAAACTAAAAAGCTTCTGCACAGCAAAGGAAATCAACAACAACAAAAAGACAACCTACCAATTGGGAGAAGATATTTGCAAACCACATATCGGATAAGGGGTTAATATCCAAAATATACAAAGAATTCATGCGTCTCAACAACAGAAAAACCAACCACCCAATTAGAAAATGGGCAAAAGATCTGAACAGAGATTTCTCCAAAGAAGATATACAGATGGCCAACAGGCATATGAAAACATGTTCAACATCATTAACTATTAGGGAAATGCAAATCAAAACTACATGAGATATCATCTCACTCAGGTCAGAATAGCTATAATTAACAAGACAGGAAACAACAAGTGTTGGAGAGGATGTGGAGAGAAGGGAACCCTCGTACACTGCTGGTGAGAGTGTAAACTGGTGCAGCCACTATGGAAAACAATATGGAGTTTCCTCAGAAAATTAAGAATAGATCTACAATATGATCCAGCTATTCCACTGCTGGGTATTTATCCAAAGAATAAGAAAACACAAAGGCATAAAGATACACGTACCCCTATGTTCATTGCAGCATTATACACAATAGCCAAGATTTGGAAGCAACCTAGGTGCCCATCAAGGGACTAATGGATAAAGAAGATGTAGTATATATACACAATAGAATACTACTCAGCCATAAGAAATGATGAAATCTGGCTATTTGTGACAACATGGGTGCACCCTGAGGGTATTATGCTAAGTGAAATGAGTCAGGGAGAAAGTCAAATACCATATGATCTCACTCATAAGTAAAAGATAAAAACTACAACAAACAAACACAGAGACAGAGATTGGATTGGTTGTTATCAGAGGGTAAGGGGGGAGGAGGGAGGGTCAAAGGGGTGATTAGGCACATGTGTGTGGTGATGGCTTGTAATTAGTGTTTGGGTGGTGAACATGACGTAATCTACATAGAATTCGAAATACACTACGATGTACATCTGAAAGTTATATAATGTTATAATCCAATGTTACTTCAATAACAAAACTAAAATTAAAAAAAAGGAAAAAAAAAAAGAAAAGAGCCGTGTGGAGAAGTAGTAATAAATGAAGTTAGACAAGTGTTAATGTCTCCCTATTACAATTTAGCGATTAATATCTATAGTTATCTGGGTATAATAAGAGTATAAAAAGCTAATCAGTGACTATTTTTCTTTTTTTAAGTTCTAATCGGGAAAAAAATTGTAATTATGTGTGGTGATAGATGTTAACTAAACTTATTGTGGTAATCATTTTGCAATATATACATACACCAAATCATTATGTTGTACACCTATAACTAATACAATGTTATATTTCAATTATATCCCAATAAAAAAAAGATATTGTTCAGGTTGAATTGTGTCCCTCCCAAATCTTGTTGAAGTCCTAACATCCAGTACCTTAAAATGTGACCTTATTTGGAAATAGGGTCACTGCAGTTGTAATTAGTTAAGATGAGATCATTAGGGTGGCCCCTTAATCCAATATGACTGGTGTCTTTATCAGAAGGGGAAGTTTGGACATAGACATGGACAGAGGAAATACGTAAGTTCTAATTGGGGACGTTTCAGTGGGGAGAAAAGTGAGAAAGTAGCTAAAATGAGGTCTGTGGATTATTTGTGGCTGTCCTTGTTACCACAGGCAAATAGAAAGTGGAAATGTACCTCTTTATGCCTCTCAAGTCTGACACATTCAGTTTACATCTAAGATGGCTAAAATGGATTCTTTTAATAATAAAATTCGTATATTATCATTTATCAATATATGTCTTACTTGGCAAGCTCCTAGAGGTTGTATCTTACTTACCTGGGAATTGCCTACAATACTTGGAAACGTGCTGTGGTACAACAGCAGTGCACTCTCAAGTAAGAGGTTTCAAGTCTCAGCTCTGCTAGTTTGTTCCAGCTATTTCACCTTGGACAAATTTATAAAACTCTGAGCCTCAGTATCCCTGTCTAATAAAACTCTCTAGGAGTTCTTATCAGGATTAAAGGATATATAATCAAAAACACGTATCATAGAAGTTAGCATGTAACAGATGATAAAGATGTATTAGTTCTTTTTTGTCTTTGCATATTGCATACAATAGAAAGCAATTATGAAGTTGGAATTTTAGTCATTTAGAGAACTTCCCAAAAAGGTATACACTTACCTTGGTTTTCAGCTGGTCTTAGATTTGCTAAAGCGACAATCTGATGCCCAGCAGCAATGCACTGCATCATATTATAACAGCTGTCCTTCCCACCACTAAAAAATAAAAAGATAAATAAATATCAGGCTACTGACCATTACTGAACATAGAATCATTAGATAGCAAAATAGAACACATTATTTCTTCAGCTTTTCAGAATATTTGCGGTACTACTTTATAATTAGAATGCAAAACACCACATGTAATTTCCAGAGCACAAGCAATGGAGCAAATGGATCTGAAGGTCTAAGCTTGCTGCTCACAAGAGCTTCTGAAATTATATGCATCATAACAAAGATCATTCTAAACAAAAAATAATAACTCTTTGGTTTGTGATAGTGACTTTACTTAATATATAAAGTGCTTTGCAAATAAAAAATGATTTAATTTTACATTCCAGTTAAACATTTATTACATATACTCCTTAGGTGAAATTCTCTATGAAGAAGTAGGAAAACGTCTATTCTGTTCCACTTTAAGAAATCTAACAACTGGCCACCATCACTAATTAAAGGATCAAACTTAAGATTTGCGATCCAATCAAATAATACAGTTTGACATACTTGGGGGGAGAAATTCTACAGAGATAGAAAGCAAAATGCTGAAATACACTGATACAGTTAAACATCAGTACTATCAGTACTAAGTTTTCAGCCCTCACTAGGATAAGGCTTGAGCCATAAAACTAATAAACAGATTGAAAGGAACTTCTAAATGCTGTCACCAAATCCACCTAAAGTAGAGGCAAATCACTTAGTCAAGACAAGCAGTAGTTCATCATAACAAGGTTAAACAGCAACCTCTATGCTCTTTTAGTTTAATACGCTAGTGCTTCTCACTATACATGTTTCTTCCTTTCTTTTATCACTGTCTCTCTTCCTTTTTTCCCTCCTGTTTAACCGTCTTTCCAATCCTTGCTTAAAACCTGCAAATGTACCCACAGGCAATGTTTAGACCTATTCAGAGACAAAGAAACTAAGAGGCTGATTATCCTGGGAGCTGGCTCTTTTGCCCTCTGAGCTCCCAACATTTGTCTGCCGCTACCATAGTCCCATCAGTAACAACTGTCATTCCAGAACTTCTCAAGGGGAGGAAAGCTGCAAGAGGAAAAGTAAAGGTATACATCATGCTTTCTTTCCTCAGATTCTGATATTCCCCTAAGTACATCTTCCACAGCTTCCCCTAGTGAACCTCACTGCTCTGTTTCTGCAGGACAAAAAGATCTCCCTAATTGTGGAATATCAAAAATATTAAAGATTAACAGGTATACATACACAATCAGGACTTTGCCTTATATTTTATTTTAAAATATGCTAAGGTTTCAAATATGGTTTTAAAATGGTATTTCCCAAATTGTGTTCTGTAGAACACTAGTGTCCAACAAATACTCTTAAGCACAAAAGGTTTTCAAGGTCAAGTAACTTTGGGTAATGCTGAGTACCTTACTCACCTCTTAGAACATCACAAAGTACATAAGCATGTTAGGTGAGACGTCTCACATAAGATCAGAATTTTAGTTCCCAACTCTGGGATACTAAGCTAAGTTACTCAATGTGCTTGGGTTTACACGCTTCATTATAAAATTAGAGAATGGCCTAGCTAACCCTCAAGGTGTCATTCAACTGTAAAATTCAATGATTCAATCTTTTGTGTATTAGGAAAATAATGTTCTTTATGGTCTAAAGATATGTGAAATCTTGATTTCACTTATTTCCTAAAGCATACACACATATCCCCTCTCTCATTTTAGTACACATACACACACACACTGCCAATAGATTTACTGTTTTAAGTTTAAATTCATATATATTCAAGTGTATATGCATATAAATGTATATATATGTATTATGTACGCATTCATATTCATATATATGTTTTGTATTCATACTTAACAGCATGTCTCCCAACACTTAGACATATCTCACAATTTTTCAAGAATTTTCCAACATTAGTGATTTGCTTTTTCATTATGAAAGTAATATATGTACATTACAGAATATTTAGTGTAATGGACTACATCAATCTTCTTCTCTCCTTCCAAGATTCTTTTTTTTTTGAAGACTGGCACCTGAGCTAACATCTGTTGCCAATCTTTTCTTTTCTTCTTGTTTTCCACAAAGCCCCTCAGAACATAGTTGTATATTCTAGTTGTAGGTCCTTCTAGTTGTGCTACGTGGGACACAGCCTCAGCATGGCTTGATGAGCAGTGCCCTGACCACGCCCAAGATCCCACCCAGCCAAACCTCAGGCCCCCAAAGCTGAGCACGCAACCGTAACAACTGGGCCACCAGCAGGTTTTCTGAGTCTTCAGTTCAAGCGCTAAATTTTTGGCAAACTGCATGTGGATGTGAATTACTCATTTCCTAGACTACGTTTTTTACTCTTATCTGTCTAGATCAAATGAAGACCACAATGGTCTAAGCTTAGTCATTCACTTTAGAGAAGAAATTCACTGAAAACAATAATGACTTTGATATTATAGTCTAGTCTCCTAAAACTGGCATTGAAGTAAAAGAAATTGGATTATTCCAGCAACTACAGAAGGGACTAGAATGTTATATCGAGTCCTCAAAAGGACTCAAAAGGAGACTATTGTCAGCCAGCATCAACTACCTACGGAAGTGAACAAAAATGTTTATGAAATCTTCAATGGGCTTAGAAAAGAAAATGCATGGTTGTGATGTATCTCAGACACTATACAGATCCAAATCTCATCCAACAAATATTCAAGTAGTCTAAATTTATTTTTTAATGTTGTCATTGTGTTCCCTTTTGCTTCAGTTTACAGATTGAGTATGGAAGCATTTCAATTGGCCTGTCTTTGGTTGTCACAGGACTTACTTTAGACAACTAAATATGATGGGTTACTGTAGATTTCAAACTTCTCTTGGAATATGGAGTATGTTACCATAAGATCACTCTAAAAGCCATAACTGCTCGAAGCAACAGCAGCCGGATCTAGAACAAAGTGGTATATTTCCATCTCCGTCCTTGAGCACAAAGGTAAACCCCATCCATGTCTTAACCAATCCGGACACTCCTGGGACGGCAGGTGAGGGAGAGATGGTCCTTCGCGGGAGGGGGCGGGGCTAGTATCAGCCTAGGGAGGAAGACAGGACCCAGACGACCGAGCAGAAAGACTGAAGGGAACAAACTACAGAAGAGGACGGAGAAAGCGAGGAGGAAAAGGGGAGGGCTGACTTGGCCCTGAGTAAGGAGAGTCAAGCTGTGGCTCTCAAACGTCACTGCCCACTACAACTTTTAAGAATCCGACCCCGGGCCGCGTCCGAGGAATTACACCAGCGCTCTGGCGTGAGGCCCAGGCATCAGCAGTTTTTAAAGTTCCCCAGGTGAATCCAATGTGACCCCAAATCTGAGGGCCAGAAGACCAGAGTGGCGGCGACAGGCAGAGAGGAGGAGCGCGAGCCCAGGACCGCGGACGAGTCGGGCCAAGCCCGAAAGCTCCGCCTCTTCCTGTGGCCGCGAGGAGCCGACGACCCCCGACACGCGGCTGCACACACCCTCGCTTTGGCGCCGACGCCGGCGGCAGCTCCCGCCCCTCCAAGGAAGGGACAGGAGGCCGACAGGAGAGGAGGAAAGCGGCCCCGGCGCCGCATTACCTGATCAGAGCCGCGACCCTCATTTTGCTGGGCGCAGTGCGCGTGCGTGCGGCCGGCGCGGCGGGAGCCGAGAGGTCGCCGCCGCCACGCCCCCCGCGGCGCGCCGTGGGGCCTCGGCCGGGTGTTCGCTGCGCAGCCTGTCCCCGGCCCAGCGCTGCGGCCTTGCGGCTGCCTGCCGACCGCTGGCTGAGGCGGGTCCGCCCACCCGGCTCCCCGTCACGGTGGCAGGGACATCCCGGGCCCGGAAAGAATGCTGTGTAGGCACGGCCTAACCACCTAAGTGAGGGCACTGAAGCTGCCGGGGGAAGGGCAAGGGCCGCCTTGAAGAGCCCAAGCACCGTGGCACTGGATTCGTTTTGGTAGGAGAATGTTCGAAGTTGCTTATGCTGCGAGTTGAAACACTTGTGGACGTGCAAAGGGAGAGGAAGTGTTCCCTAATTTCCTCATCTCCGCCTCCCCCCCCCCCCCCCCCCCCCCCCCCCC